CTGTGCTGGACCTTGCTGGGCTGTGCTGGGCTAGGCTGGACCTTGCTGGGCTGTGCTGGACCATGCTGGTCTGTGCTGGGCAGTGCTGGGCAAGGAAGGACCATGTTGGGCTGTGCTGGACCTTGCTGGGCTGTACTGGGCTAGGCTAGACCGGGCTAGGCTGTGCTGGACCATGCCGGTCTGTGCTGGGCAGTGCTGGGCAAGGAAGGACCATGTTGGGCTGTGCTGGACCTTGCTGGGCTGTACTGGGCTAGGCTAGACCGGGCTAGGCTGTGCTGGACCATGCCGGTCTGTGCTGGGCAGTGCTGGGCAAGGATGGACCATGTTAGGCTGTGTTGGACCATGCAGGGCTGTGCTTAGCTGGGCTGGGCCATGCTAGGCTGTGCTGGACCATGCTGGTTTGTGCTGAGCAAGGATGGACGTTGCTGGGCTGTGCTGGAGCATGCCAGTCTGTGCTGGGCTGTGCTGGGCAAGGATGGACTGTGTTGGACCATGCCGGGCTGTGCTAGGCTAGGCTGGACCATGCTGGGCTGTGCTGGACCATGCTTAGCTGTGCTGGGCTGTGCTTAGCTGGGCTGGGCCATGCTAGGCTGTGCTGGACCATGCTGGTCTGTGCTGAGCAAGGATGAAGGATGCTGGGCCGTGCTGGGCTGTACTGGGCTACTTTGGCCCATGCTGGGCTGTGTTGGACCACGCTGGGTTGTGCTGGGCAAGGCTGGGCCGTGCTGGGCCGTGCTGGTTGGCAGCTCCCTTGGGAAGGGCTTGGAAGCAACATCGCACCTTCGCGAGGGCTGTTGGCGCGGGGTCCGGCCAGGCGTGGGGTCAGCGCGTGTGCACGGACACACGAGCGCTGTGGTCCTGTGTCAGCTCCCGGGGGCTCTCAGTGCTGGGGCTCAGGCAGTTGGTTCCCGCAGCCCCCTCGGGTCTCCGCTCTCCTGCGTGATGATGGAGGATGTTTCGGAGGTGCGGGAAGTCCTTAACCTCGGTTTGGTGCCATGTGAGCAGGGGGCTGGTGCCTGGCCATGACGCTGGCAGAGCATGGACTCACTTGCTGTTACTTATATTTTGGGGAGAGACTGGGAGAAACCAGCACCTTAAACTCAGCCTAGCCTGGCTGCTGCCGTGGTTCAACTTGTCCGTGCAAGCGCCCAGGGGAGCCAGGGCTCGGTGCGCCCGGCGCTGTGCAGAGCCACAGCACAGTTGCTGAGGAGGAGGAGCGCGGCACCTTCCTCCCGTTGGCCCCGTATCTCTGGACACAGGCTGCGGCTCTTGCTGCTCTCCGCTGGGGCTGGTGGTGAGCGCAGCTGTTTGCAGCTCATGCCAGCCCGCGCCCAGGACACGTCTGACAGAGCTGTGGTCGTGGCCGCGTCCCGGAGGTTTTGCTCCAGGTGCTTCCTGCGAGGGGGCTGAAGCGAGGAAGGCAAATGGGGCAATGGGTTAGTGCAAGCTACTGGAAATGCGTTTGCTCGTCCCGAGGTGGACTTTGCAACAGCATGAGAAAACAGTCCCGAGAGCTGCTCGTGTGAAAGGTGAAACCTTCCTGTGTTTTCACAATGTTTATGGCTCTTCCTAGCAGGACCTTGGCGATGGAGAGATGCAGCATCCCTGCTGGGCTTGCTCGGGTCCCCTGAGGACAACTGTGTCATGTTGCACCGCTAGATCTGATGTGCTGGGCTCTGTACAGGGAAACAGGTATGTGGTAGTAGTAATTACCCCATGCGGGCGAGGGGTGAAACCTTCCTGTGTTTTCACAATGTTTATGGCTCTTCCTAGCAGGACCTTGGCGATGGAGAGATGCAGCATCCCTGCTGGGCTTGCTCGGGTCCCCTGAGGACAACTGTGTCATGTTGCACCGCTAGATCTGATGTGCTGGGCTCTGTACAGGGAAACAGGTATGTGGTAGTAGTAATTACCCCATGCGGGCGAGGTGCTGGTGGTGGGAGCGGTGCATGGGAACGGCCCATGCGCTGCGGTCCTGCCG